GGGGCCATTCAGATCGAAGGAAGAAACTAATGAAATTGGAAGGCGCTTTGGTGCAATTTAGTTTCAAGTAGAACATAAGGTTGACGGAAACTAGGGGACTGCGCCTACCTGATGAGCCCCAAGAAGGGCGAAACCGGTCGTGGGCTGTCGATGGATTTTCAGCAACCTTATGAGTAGTACATTACAAATAAAACCAATCTAGATTCAAAGCTGATAGGCACTGTACAGATGTTTCAGTCCCGTCTTATGAAACTGCCTTAGGGTGTTTCGTACTCATGGTCTCCCAGCCAGTATTTTGAACACCTGACCATTTGGCCATGAGCGACTAATCAGCAATCTGAATAACTTGCACGCAAAACTACTTCCAACTCCCTGTGGTTAGTCTTGTTTTCCTCCTCTGTGTTTTTATGCTAGATGATTTAGCACATGGTTAGGTCATCGTAGCTTGTGGAGTTGGATACCCCTTTCCGTCAGATTCCTAAGTGCATAGTTCCCAACAATCCGATCAGATATTCGTGAGGTCCGGGGAACGTTGGCTATACTTTCATGGCAAAAATATTTATACGGTTTTAGTTACCTAAAAGCATTAATCAAAAAACCTCTCGCGAACAACACTGTTTACACAAAGCCCAATGAAAAGAACTCTATATACTCGAATTGGAACTTCTTAATGCAGATTTTTCCTGGTACTATATTTACACGTCTGGATTTGACCTCCACTGTATAAGGCCAGCTTACGATATAAGTTTTTTGTTGCGCACATAACAATTGTATCCTGATTCATTTCCTTCAACTAAGAAATTCATCCTTTTTGTTGATGTCATGTGCTTCAATAGACTCATTCTTGTTCTCGGTAATGTGTAGTTTCAACATTCAACTAGAGTTCGCTTGTTTGACATCCAAAACGAGGAGGATGATGCAGAATTATGAAATCAGGTGATCAGAGCTTCTACAATGCAGTGACTTGACTATACTAGATGCCGTTGGCTTTGCCGATTGCCTCAGCTTCAACCGATTTGTTCGGTAGGAACGACCTACTTCCTAATTTTCAAGTAGTTTAACAAAACAAACATTCTTTTCCAGCCAAGGACGATGCACATCAGTATTCAACCGAACTTGCACTGCAAAGTGATAGAGGATATAGAAGTCTTGTTCCTTAGCAAAGACAGCCGCCTCTTTCTGTATACAAACCACTTACAGAAACTGAAAATAGGCAAGCATCTCTAAGAGGTAGTCTCTGTATTGGCCGGAAAGGAATAAACTGAAAAAAAATAGTCCTCGTTAAAACCACGATTTACAAAACACAGGTTAAACAACTAGTTTGATTTTGTTACTAGCGAAGTCTGGCCTCGGGATCCGCAATCGCCTATGGGTAGCTTTTCTGTGTGGCTGATAATAGGTGCCTGGCGTTGTTTTAGCTTCTGGATGAGTGAAACCAACCTGTACTACGAGCGTATCACTTTAACTACAAGTGAACCCGGAAAAAACGTGGGAGACAGACAGGCCTGCTAACCGTATGGTCGGTATCGTTCAAAGGAAACGGCTATGGAATGGTTAACAGAGATGCCTACAAGAAAAACACATCTTGAGGACTTTAAAAGAAACGGTTGCAGAAGAAAGGAAATTTCATCGTCAACTTAAATAAATTTTACCCTGGAAATTCAAAAAACAGGAGGATGTTGTTCATTTAAAGGAACAAACAGCCAGAGAAAATTACGGTGTGTAAGGTTTTGGCCGGGTTGTGATATGCATTTTTGCCAAGCGGTCATGGTACTTTTTCTCCCATCGCAAATTAGCCAGACCATTGTATTCAAATTTATTGAAGATGGACATCCAGGAAAGTAGAAAATTGCCAATAAGAAAAGAGTGCCACCTGTATGCGAGTTTTGAAAAATTAGTCTTTTTTTGCTGAATTGTCACGCACGCCCAGGAACAAGCCAAGTAAGGTCGATCCAAGTAAAGCTTTTGGCATCCTAAGGTGAATTTTTAGCGTACAAACTGCAAACTGCAAAATAATTTGATCAACTCCGGCTGAATTGCCCATCAGTAAACGCTTTAAGAAAGCAGGCTAGATTCAACGCTAGAAAGCCTTTTTCCGGAACAGCTGACAATTCTGGTGGTTGATCACGTGGCCGGTGATTTGTTTGATGAGCTTGCAGACGTTCCGTTACCAGTCAAGGGGATATCGCCACTGCGCAGCTGAGTGAGTTGGGCTGACCCATTCATCTAGGCACTGCCGATGTGTTCTCGACAGCGAAGACAGGCTGGGCAAACAGATCAACGGCCACCCGGTCAGCCACCAGCAAACATAACCGGGCTACCCATTATATCGACACAGCTGATGGCTTTATTAAACATAGCTTGTAGCTGCTCGAGGCACGTGACAGCTGCAGACGATCAATGCGTCATCAGCCATGAATGGAAAGTCAGGGGTGGGCCTGTTACTTACATACAGCGGATAAAAAGGGAAGAATAATACCTTGTGAGCCACCGCAGGCAACGGAAAAGAGAAGCTACTACCAACGTTTGTGGTGTTCAATGTGTGGAGTACTCTTCATTGGGCTTCAAACTCCAAAAGCAACCATGTAGTCAGCGGACGGTAGGTGTTGACTTTTATATCCAGTTTTAAAATGACGGGATGAATTATTAAGGCAACAACATCTAGAGTACAACAAGATTGACGGTTCCCATATTAGTTTCAGCCTTGGATACTTTGCATTCGGAGAAACGGAGGTGAATAACATTCGCCCAATTTTCATCGCCCCCCTTTCTACCGTAAAGGCAACATTGCAGTCAATCTCCTATGGTCAGGAATTTTTCCAGTGGAAAACAATTACTTAACAAAGCGGAGACCGGCAAAATGTACTCATTCGCAAACTAAGATGGTGTTACCAAACATTACCAGTGATCACTACATGAGGCTGCTGAAGCGAAAGTTCACCGATCCAAACATCGTGGTATTTCGTATTCCATCGAACAGATTTGAGGAGCACATGTTCTGAAAGATGTCCTATCCAGGGTGATCGAAATTCTCTCCATACGCGCGGAGAAGCATAGGGATTTTAAATAACTGACATGAATACCCTTGAGTAGATAAGCGTCCCCCGGTGAGGAATTGTCTGTCGACAAACACAAACTAAGTAGTTAGAGGCGATCACATAAACAAGCTTTTCAAACATTATGGCGCCATAGACATCAACACTCCAATCTCAGCAGAAATCGTACACAGACGTGGTAGACAGGCTTTTTTAGACATTGGAATGGTTTAGATTTTTCAGCAGATTCCCCCGTTATTTCTTTATGGGACAATCTGTCCTGAAAAGCCGAGTAAAACCGTACAGCTGCTTCATCAGTTTTGGGAATCATCAGCAGTGCACATTTCACAAAACTACAGTAGGGAGTTTCAGACCCTCAACCCCTCAGTTAGTAGTTTGAACACTTAACCGCTTGGCCACGAACGGCTGATCAGCATTCTTATTAGCACTCACTTGGAAAGGATTTATCGCCGCTCATTATTCAACCAAAAAAACAAATCACGTGATTACGTATTGATCGGCTGCTCGAGTGGCGACGTCTCAGATGCAAGTTTTACTCATCTTGTAGAATTATTCGTCCTCTGAGCTACTAGGAGATCGATTGAAGATTTTCCGTCATTGTTGGCTGTTCGCATTGCACAACCACTCTGTGACGAAACTGCAGGTGCCTAAAACTCATTGTCCATTTTAAAAATTATCAGATGAAGCCTATGGTTACGACTACCATAAGGAGTTTTCGATCAATTGAGTTATGGAGTATGAATCGGACACATGGTCCCCCGAACATTTGCTGAACGAACAGACACATGTATAGCCCTCATGCGTAATCTGAAGAGTCCGGGAAAAGGCAATTCCTCTTCCTAACCCTGGCGAACCGATTACAAGCCATAAAGGTTTCCGGAAACTCTTCCACAGCTCACGACAAGTCTCGCCCTTCTTGAGGCTCATCAGGTAGGCGCAGTCCCCGAGATTCCGTCAAACTTACGTTTACAAGCCAGCTTACGAGCTTGCTGGATAAACCAGCTGCCACCTGATCAACAGTCGACAAACGCACCCGGACTGCCAATCTTTAGACGTAGATCGAATGCCAGTTTTTATCGACCATATTACTTACATTTCCTTCTCAGCCAAAAACAACAAAGGCCATAGCCAGTGTGAAACATCATCCACTGTCGAACTATTACATTCCATTCCTTGTTACAAAAGGCTGAGTGTGTACAGGATTGTACTCATTATCGGTTGTGAAACAAAGTGTGAAGCACAAACGGAATGCTCTGCTAGTTTGTTCCAACTACGGTTGCCCAGCTGGTGTTTTCCTTCAAATAATCGCCAACATGATGTCCCGTTTTTACAGACAAAGATAGGCTCCGCAGTTGGCTAATTAACGCTACAAAAGATACTTGCTACTAATTACTTTTGTAATTTTAACCTATTTATCGCTGTAGCCCACTTGTTATCCGAGGCGATAAACAGGTGCATGTCAAGCGGATGACGACTGATGGGTGACCTTGAGATGGGCTAGTCCGATTGGCGGACGCCAAATGTTTGAACAATTTTGGTAAAGTTTGGATAAATACGCGTCCACAATGGAGAAACGTGGGATCTAAGATTCTAGTCACGTTTTATAACAAAGTCAGCGCACCGGAACCTCAGGGAAATCGATGGCCTGAACTGAACATCGAATTTCTCTTCTAAGGTGTGCACTCAGAGTTCATTTACGGAAAGCGCTTATCACATGCATCGTTTCGTCATCGACACACGCGCAAGTCCCTACAAGTTACTAGGGATGCCAAATTTATCATAGAATTTTCCACAATTTCTGACAACCACAGCTAAATTGCAGGAAATTCAAGTACAATAGTGGCAACCTTTTCCGCCAACCTTATGTTCCAGTTGAAACCACATTGCACGAAATTAGCGAAATACACTCATTTTCAAACTAATTTAGTCTTGCGAGAGACTTACCTGGAACCCAGCTGAATCCCTCGTTTATGGTATGTCTTGGCAAGTGAATGTGCTGAACCAGGGCGGTTTGCTCTCGCGAAATCAAATTTGTTCGAAAATGCGTGTATTCCGCTAATTTCGTGTAATTTGGTTTCAAGTAGAACATGAGGTTGACGGAAACTCGGGGACTGCGCCCACCTGATGAGCCCCAAGAAGGGCGGAACCGATCGTGAACTGTCGAAGAACTTTCAGAAAACTTCTGCATTACGAATATATATGTATCGCAATATCTCGAATATCGTACCAACTGAAACATGAGGTGCCTTTGCGCAGCACATTTAGTTGCCAGAAAACGTCACAAACGAGAGATTCAGCTGGGTTCCCCGTGAGTCTCTCACAAAACCAATTTTGTTTGCAAGTGAGTGCATTCCGCTAGTTTCGTGCAATTTGGTTTCAAGTATGAGGTTGACGGAAACTGGGCGACTGCGCCCACTTGATGAGCTGTGGGCTGTCGAAGAGTTTTCAGTAACCTTGTGAGTAGTTTCCCTTATGAAAATATACTGCGATATCTCGAACGTCGTGCCAACTGAGGTGTCAGCCGGTCTTTGTGCAACAAATTTGGTTGAAAAATATCACAAACGACCGGTTCGCTTAACTATCAAGGGATATTTCTTATGACTCGAAGTGTCTCTGCGCTAATTCGATCGTATAAGTTTGTTAAACCACACATATCGCCTAACGATCACCCACTTTCGTTTTTTCTTCAAGAGTAAGTCGAATATAAGTCGACTTGAATAACTTTCTGTTCAACTGTCCGACCCACATTGAAAGGCCATTTCGAAAGCAGCTAACAACCACACTCGAAGAGACCAACAATCTCCAACGTAACTGTCAGTCAGCTGCGAGTATGGCGCTTCGGATTGCAGACCGACATTACTCGCAGGTTTCGTCAGCAGTATACGTCGTTACATCGTCAAATGCTTTCAGACAGTAAACACAGATATATTGAGGAAAACTGATACTTATCAGGATATTTGAAATGCTTGTGCCTATGGAAAACTACGGAAGGTCTTTTCGGGGTTTCTCGCCCTCCTAACACACGACATGTGATTTCGAAGGTTCGCTTTGGTAGCAACCACCAGTTGATAACAAGAACAAGTGACAAGAAGTTCAGTCACTGAATGACGTTTCTCAGTCTGATAATGCAATCACCAAGCTGATTGAAGAGGCTCCTATTTGTCTAGAGCCAGAATTTTATCCCTGTATGAACCATTGTGACGGCAGTTCTCCGTGGCCGGATGCATGTGAAATGACAAACAAATGTTCGTTTCGAAAACCGGCAGCCAACTTTGAACATGTTGAGTCATTGAAGAGAGTTGATTTCCACCGTACTGTAAAGGATTTATTATGTGGATTGGGTGCACCGTACTCGGGTCTGCTAAACAAACCTATTTCAGGTGTACGTTGATGGTCCTTTGGGCATGTTTCACGCTTTGTACAATGTCTGAAAGTCCAAACAGTTTTACCCTTTTTTCACAGTCTATTTATCGGGCAACCACAAAGTGACCAGGATCAACATGTCTGTGTTTCCGATTGCACGTGCACTCTGTGTTTGCTCTTTTCCGGCCAGCACACGAATTGTCAAAGTAACGCTGTTCACAGTTAACATGTGGCGAATGTCGCTCATTAGGCTTGAAGCGTTTGTTTCATTCGTTCACATCCATCCCGTGGAACTGCATCACACACACACACACATCAAACTGACAAGCCACTGGGACTTGTTAACGAGCCCGGCTGTCCGGCGGTTGCGATGCTTTATGGGACATTTGTTTTACAAAATCCACATGTTTCCTGTCTTTCGCACATGGAGACCCCAGCACGACCGGCAGGCGCCGTTTTCGTTCGAAATGCGGCAACAAATGCCTTCGCACGTTACGGCAGCAAAAGAAGCAGTTGTCCGCATGTGTCCGAAGTGCATGCTTTATCCCAGACAGATCCGGCTTCCATTCATAGCTGAATATCGCGGTGGGGTTATAATCCCTTCTAAGCGGCGGACCTCATCGGCTTTGAATGGGGATGGCGCATGAAGTCAGTCAAGTTAATCGGTGGTAGACACAATTGCGATGGTGTGGTTCAGTTTGACGTCCACTTTAGTGGCATCTTGGTCCTTTTTTTCCGGATATTTTCGTCTCCCACATCGCCAGAAGAGCGGAAAAAAGTTTTAACAGAATGCCGCAGGAAAAACCGAAGCCCGAATTATCAACACATTAACGATTACCTGTCGCCACGAATTAGATGACAGGCAGCAACACAAGAGTGGGGGGGTGTTGGCAACCAGTTAATCAGATGTCAGCGAAGCCTTAGAAACAGAATGATAAATGTCTCGCTACTTAAAGTTTGAAGAAACAGCTGTTGCGTCTGTGATGTACCGGATGGATGAAAAAGAACTTGGACTAGACCTGCACAAAATGACGTCCGGGAATTTTTGAGTAAGGCAACCTATTACAATGCATATTGAAAGCCTGGTTGTAGCTTATCGGTATGCCAAGTCAAGGTGTGCTGAGTAATGGGCGGTTACTAAATTTAGTAATGTAATGTCCGACCAGAGGTGATCTAAAGCTCATTCCTCGTTGAACGGACCGCTGGCCATTTCTAGAGCGCCGCAGAGGCTAACGTTCTGTCACCGAGTGATGCTTGTTACTTGGAAGCCTAATTTGACCCACGCATTTCACTGAGTAGTTTGAAAGTAGTAAGGAAAGTTTTTCTGTTTCAGTCGAGATTCCGTTTTCTGGATTTAATGCCGACAGGCATTGCACTTCCGCGTAGTTGGTTCCGGGAGCCATTAGTACACCGAATCTCATTCAACCCCAGCAGGACTATTGGAACCCGTAACTTTCCGGCCAGTACTTGACGCATGTAATATATGTGGCCGATCAAGAATGTGCTTTAAGGGGATATATCGCCACTTTCTTTCCCGAACACACTTACTGTCAAAGACGCTCTTGATATGTGGAATATGTAAATACTTGTGATAATAATCAATAAACATGTGAAATAATTTGAATGAGTGCAGCTTGGAAAGAGGGGAAACCGTATGGATTTGGGAACAAGATTCAAAAGGAATAAGTGCAACGGAAAGTGAATACATCTAACTTTCCCGTCACCCTAAACAAACTCCGTTTACATACCTGTTGGCCAACCACTAACCCACCGCTACGCACCACTACGCTCCCCTCTAACGCACTGATGTCACCCCGATTGGTGATGAAACATTTGCAATCAAATTGCCCAGCTCAGCGAACAAGCCAACGACCAGTTGTTCGAGTTCCCAGCGTTGGGCGCTTCGGTGTACTGCCGCGGTGGATAGTCACTAGCCCCAACATGGATAACCAGCCGGTATCTCAATCAGATTTGCCAATCAACAATGTGTGAATTACTGAACGCATTTCTGCATAGCCGTAGAAGGTTTGCACGGAATCTAATGCAATGCCGCGCGCAAAATTTTGAATGCCACGCAGAATCTTCACAGATTGTTGCCGCTTTCGAGAAGCCAACTAAAATCATGAACTGAAGGTGTCAAGTATGACGCTGAAAGCCTAACTTCCAAGACTACATGGGAAGTATACCAATGAACTTGAACATCGGGTTGCTAGCTGAGGGATCGGTTGTTGATCAGATGGCTGTTGATCTGTTCGCCGAGCTTGGCAATTGCGCATTCATCAACTGCGCACTAATGATGTCTCCTCTTATGGTGACGAAACGTTTGCAAGCCAATTGTCAAGCTCGGCGAACAGATCAACAGCTATCTGATCAACAACCAATAAACTCACCCGAGCTACCAATATTTCACCACATTACTAGCTGAGGGATCGTATTCATCATTCGCTGAACTCTGGGCAGTTTCGCAACAGAACATCCAAGAAATCGATCCAAATGGAGGGTTCTGTGTTTTTTAACGGACGGTTTTCGGGTTGTATTCGAATGAGCCCACGGCACGGTTAACACATTCGATTACACCAGAGCGATCGACTGGGGTTGTGGTCTACTCATTCTATCTTCGTAGGGTTTCCTCGCCTCGTTGTGAGTACACATCAGACAGTATGGGCCCACAGGCCCTCTTGTGGTTCACCAACCAGTTAGCTCCTTGCTAACAAACCCAACCGATCGATTACTGTTCCGAGAACGATCGATCAGTCTGGCTTTGGCAGAATTTGTAGAGTCCGTTATATTTCATTGGCCACTTAAAACGCCTGATGTAATTTATCGAACTTCGTTGCAACTGACAAGAACATCCGGTAGTTTTTTTTCGGAAAACGATGACTACATAATTAGATGCATCACAGTCTGTTGTAAGGCCTACGCCCTTCCCAAAAATATCATAGCTTGGTTGATACTAAACTGTAGGGAGAATATACCTATCTCGCGACACAGGCAACAGGCAATGCACTGTACTCAGCTCTGGCCGTTTGCGTGCAGTTTTGTTTTTCTGAACGTCTACACTCGATTGAGTACTTGCAGCATTATGCCTCTAGCTATGAGCGTTGTCGTTCGATTTTACAATCCAATCAGTGCCATTTGGTTTTCGTTAAATAAAAATTTTTTCCACGTAGGCTCCGAGTTTGTACTGTACGTCAGGTTGTATTGTTTAAATGTATCCGCGGTCGGCAAGGGTGTCGAAAACTTTCGAGTACCGATCGAATGAACATAAGGCTAGATTGTGGCGTACTGGCTGATTAGGAGAACAGCTACCAACTTCAGAAGATGTTCCGAACGGTAACAAATCTGTGAACGATCGAATAACATTGAAGGTTAGGGATTTTGTCACACTAGTGAGTCTGCTCATCAGATCTGCAAATGTGCGTCTGTCACGGCGAGCTGAAACCAAATTCGTGTGTGTCAATTGCTTTCGATTTGTGTCCAAGTAAAACGTAGCGTTGACGGACGCTCATGGACGGTGTCTGCCTAGTGAGCCTCAAGGAGGACCAAACAGATCGAAGAAGTTCCAGCAACCTTATGAGCAGTGTTCCGTGAACAGCACTTGATTGAACTCTGAAATGGGGGGTTCGAAACTAAGGGGACCGTAAAATCTATAACCGTTTACAAGAGAATCACTTTAGTAAACTGAAATGAAATGCCAAAAATTATGAAACAAGTCTGATGAGTTTATAGAAATGCTTTACGGCCTCCTGTCATCAAGAGCCTTTGCCGGTATTTCCTCAGGAATATCTCATCAGCATCTGTATGTGTTACCTCACTATAAGTCTAGCGAATAAATATCATTGCACACTTGAAATGGTGAACATAAAAGGAGGAAAAGAAAAGCACCAAAGAATGCGGATGAACAGCAAGCTCTGGTTAAAGATATAGCGATGGCGGTACATGCCTTAGACACAGGACATAGAATAGATCTGGGGCATAGCCTGTTGGGCAAGTGTAGTTAACAGCACTGAACGATCGACAGAATCAAACGCACCCATGAACTCAAAAAATATCAAGATTGAGGGTTTTCTGTACACATGGCGTTGCTCTAACACCTGACAGGGTGTGGTCTACCCGGTTGAAATGCCGTTTGATTCTCACGAGCCAGAAGTTCTGTTGTTAACTACTAACTAACACCTCTGTGGTTACTACAGCCACTGCGAATACTTTTTCTCAAGTGAACGCTATTATCGATTCACCCCAGTTGTCTGGGACGGTCTATTTCTCCTAGATAGACTCAAATAGGCTAGGCAGGCACCAGCTGGGGAATTCACCACCATCCTTGAGCAAAGCAGTAGGCATCTCACGAAACGCCAGTAACGAGTCTCGATTCGGGACCTTTCCGGCCAGTAGTTGAACACTGAACCATCCGACCACAAGCGGTTGCATTCTTAATTTATCTTTTTTTCACTTGAAACCTATCGATTGCCAGAACCTCAGACCCACTCTGAAATCATTCTTGAAGATTCCTTGGGCCGTGGCAATCAAACACGTCTAGAAGTCTCGGAAAGTCGCTGGAGCAATTTGATTGTGGACTCTTTGGTAGACCGTCTGGGGTCGACTTTCTCCATCGAAACTGCAGCCAACATCTGGTCTTAGCACATTAAGAACGGAAGTTTCTCATTCTGATTTGTATGTACACAGATAGCTACGTAAAATACGTCATTATATTGCGCAATCTTTCATTTTCGTCTCGACTGAACGTTTTCATTTTATTCCCCCCCCTCTTGTCACTGTTTCGTTTCACGATAACTGCTCGGGAAGAGCGAGGAAAAACCAAACTATTCAGGCGAATTCACGATGGTTTTCGTTATGTCCATCAAAACACTCATTTGCGATGCCGTTCGAAAAAAATCGGCAAACGGATTACCGTGCAATCTTAGGACTTAGTCAGTGCGGATGGGAACACCGGCTCTTGACTGTGTTTACTAATCCTACTATCTACACATCTCTCGCCGTCTTACTGACCGACATTTCCTCTTTCGAAAGGTTTAGTTTGTTGTCTGTTCACTGGGGAGACAGGTTTCGTCTCGATCTTTGACAGTGATCTATTGCGAACATGTGTTGCCTAGTCCATCAAGTTTCTGGGACCACCTGCACGTTTGGCGACGTGGGATAGACTGTCGGTTGTTGTTTGTGGGCACTTGACAGCTGCGGAACCTACTGGCGGACAGTCCTGCGTTATTTGCAAACTGGTATTTTTGTTGTTAGCGCGGAGATTTCAACCGTCAGGTTGCGGGGCTTTCGAACGGTCACAGTTTTTTTCTCAGGGAAGACAATTGGGTGTGCGCGGACAGAGGAAGTTATCCACCTACGAACCGAGACCGAGTGTTGGCTCGTTTCTAAACCCGATTGGAAGGATCAGCAAATCTATTGGACTGACTGTGAACGCGCGTCTTACGATTTGTTGTTTGTCCGTAAAGCAGGAACACTGCTTTCTGGCTCAAATTCACACCTTCAACCAACTGGGCGTGGCAGGCAGGCGACGGTGCGGCAGCGTCGCATTGCGACATGTAGTAGTGCGGGCGTGAACTGAACACACGCCAGAGATTGACAAACACCCAAACTGTGGAAACTGTTCAGACAAGGTGGTGTAAGTATATGAATGGTTGGTTGGTTGGTTGGCTGGTTGGCTTGGTAACCGTGCCGGCGAAAGAAACCCAATCAGCAAGCGCGCATCGGTAGCCAAAAAAACCAGGGCAACTAATTTGGCGATAGGGGGTTAGAGAGGGGGTGAAGTAAATTGGACAATTGAAACTGTAGTTGACGGGGTCTTATCAACCGAATTGGTCGAGTTTCGTGTTCGACAGTACCTTAAGGTCAACCGGCGCCGTTTGTCGTAAATTTGGCGACAACAGGCTGGCGCCAACACTCAACAGAATTTGGGCACTGGCGTCCTTGTGAATGCGTCCGGTGCCATGAAAAGTTCGGAAAAGCAGAAATTGAGTTTGACGCCGTCAATACTGGGAACCTCCGGTTTTCAAACACTCAAATATCTTTTGCCGTCAGCATTGTCTACGGCTACCGAATATGAGACAACCGGCAATTTGACGTCTGGTGCATGGCGCCTATGCTGGCGTTCCTCTACCTCGGACGCCTCGACCGAACCGAGGACTGGTCAAAAGTCAGATTGGAATGCGCTGCCGCCGCCGCCATCATGGTCATCACACTGTGTCTGTCATGTTTTGCTGATTTCCGTAACCTACACATGCAACTGCCTATCACGTATAATCTTCACGTATAGAAAACATTGGACGGCACATCTGAATCAGTACAAGAGCAGTCATTCATCCTCTGTCGCCAGCCTCACATTCCCTCAAATACATACATACTCTGACCGGGATTTACTAGTCGACAGCCACCCCTATCGATCTGTGACCAACGGTCCGCCTCACACGCAAAAATTTCACCCTCCACCCAATCCCAATACCGTCAAAATCAGTGTTGCCCGCAACGCACTTGCTCCTCGAGAGTCCCCAGTCTCAACAGACAAACCACACTTGGCATTTGCCCACTCGGACAGGAAGAAGAGGCTAACAAGACTGAAAATCAGTATAAACTGTACAGTTATCACGTTAATTCATTTGTTTCTACTCATCACCTGTGTTGGAGCCAGTCACAATTTCCACCCGGCTAAAATCGCTCATCACGATCAAGTCCTGTCCAATGTGTACCACGTTCCTCACCCTGACAGCAATCCAAGTATCGTGGATATTCCTGGCCTGGACCAAGTACTTGTCGACGAGGATATGACAAATTCAAAACCATCGCGAGCGGAACTAATTGAGAGAACCCCCAGTTATATGTTTGACATGCACGATAGACACAAACGCGATTGGTGGGATTTTGACCAGTTTAGTGATGGACACCTGAGGCATCCTCTTCATTCGCAAAACACCCATGAGCACGACAATCGTAAACTTGGAACCGTAACGGCTATTCGACACCACAAACACATAGGTAAGTCCATGTGGATATCTCACCGGTCGGTTTAAACGAACTAATTCAAAGCTTTGGTCTGGTATCTTTCCGCAGGAGGGTGAGATGGCCCAAGTGGATAGAGCGCGAATTTACTGACCGGAAGGTCCGTGGTTCGAACCCGACCTCTACCTCTCGACTTCCCCTGTCTAGGCTTGGGTGACCTGGCAGTATCCCAACCCTCGTGCCTCCTTCGTGTAGCATGGCAGCTAGGCACCGAAAGGGTGCTACAGCTGAATGGTTATTTTATTTTTTATCTTTCCGTAAAGTCCTCGAATTTTTTTGAAAAAAATAAACTTTATGAGACGTACTACTTCAATGATCAGCGAAAACTTGCCTACAGTCGGCTGAAAACATTCGAATGAAAAAAGTCAACGTTTTTTGCAAATGACCGCAGGTTGAAAATTCTATCAGGTTGCTTGATTCAAGTCGGGCTTGTGATGAAATTGGGGAAATTCAGTCATTATCGCCGGCGTGTTTAATAACTTATAAGTAGTCAGCAAGGTCTCACCTCCAGTTTTCAGATGTGTCATGAACCGTCAGCCTTGCAAATCGCTCGGGGTCTCGAACCGCCCTATGCCCCTCCACTGTGAAAGGCTGATCGATAGTTCTTCACAGACGTGTCTCACTTCACGTAATCCGGTTTTGAATGTCCCCTCGTTTGAACTTTTCTTCAAAAGAAGACTGTCCTTAATAGTTGCTATTTTTTTAAGTACTTCAGACATTTCAGACTCCTAGTTTTATTCTACTTGCAATAAAAATGGCACATGTGATCAGTTCATCGATTACGTTGAGGGGAAAATAACCCAACAGGTTAGATACGCGTTTGGTTTTTGGGTCGCCAAATGTGAACGCGTCTCTAACATTTGCCTCAGATTTCAGGAATGTCGACATTTTCGGCCTATCCATGTGAACCAAATCATTCCGTCTAACAGTACCCGCTAAACATGACTGTTCAGGAAATCTGAAACACCGATCAAGTTTTTGTGCTAAGTGAAAAAATCAGACGGAAGTTTTGAAGTGTCATCCGAGGAGTTTTGCCTACTCCTCCTCGAATGGCTGGCAACCGATGCAAGACCTCTGCGCGTTACTTTATTTGATGTGTGACTCATTTGCAAATTAATTTGGATTCCACCAGAGACTCAACCGAATCTCTCGTTTATTACATTCTACAACTAAATGTGCTGCACACAGGCCGCCTCGTGGATTCATTTGGCGCGATATTTGAGATATCGCAGTATCTTTTCATAAAGGAAACTACTCACAAGGTTGCTGAAAACTCTTCGATAGCCCACGACCGGTTTTGCCCTTCTTGATGCTCTTCGAGTGCATTTGCCGCAATCCGTCCAATTTGGGTTCAAGTAGAACGTAAGGTTGAAGAAAACTCGGGAACTGCGCCTTTATGTGATTCGTTTTCTCCCGTAACTTGTGTTCAACGTTTTTTTGTCAAAATGTCGGACTTCACGGGTGGTGTAACACCTGCCGAACGTATGCTGACATCTTACTCGAAGGATAGTCTAAGATACTACCAGGCTGTCCAAGCCTAGACGGGCGCAGTCGAGATATCGAGGTTTGATTCGAACCACGAACCTTCCTGGCAATAACTTTTCGCCTTAAACGCCTCCAGCTGTGAATGTTCTTAAATAACAGATGTACACGGCAGAGAGACGTAGTTCTTTTCTCGGATAAACTGATCGTCCTCACTCTGTTCATATGTCATTGTGAGAATCACTGTTAGCTGTGAAATTGGCCTTGGATGAGCAGTGTTCTTTATTCAGGATGCTTTATTATTATGTATTTTGGAATTTTTCTGTCAGATTTTGAAGATTCCGCCCCAGTTAAAATTTATGTCAACCTCCGGGACCAGTCAAGTTTTACACCCATCCCTTCAAGCTGAGAAAAAACTGTTTATCTCAACGGAACGTTTATCTAAGTGCAAGTAAACAATAGTATCGAGCAGCCCAAAAATGACAAAAAGGCAGAATGCTTATATTTTCCAAAAATATCGCAGATTTTAGTCAATCAGTGCACAGAACAGATGAGTTTGCGTCCAAGGATTGGATTCATGATCCCCATCGCAGTTTTTCTTCTGATGCAAGCGAAAAACAGACTTTGAATGTATTGATTTGTTCTAATGAGAGTATTGTTAGTTGTAAATGTTATGGTTGTATGAGGGCTGGGATACTGCCAGGGCGCCCACACCTAGACAGGAGGACGATTAAGGTCCTTAACCAAAGCCTTTGGCTCAAAAGCCTAACCGCAAGGCAGCGGTGTTTGGCGGGGAAATGCAAATGCATTAACTTTTCTACGGAACAAGTCGCCACACATGTTCCAACCCCCAACCTGGAGGGCCAGGAGATTGTGTTCGTCGGACCTCTACCCATTGACCAACCTGGTACGAGACTCTGTGATCATCGTGCGGACACTCCCCAGTATAGCTCAATGGGTCGCCGAGGTACACAAACCGCCACACCACGGTAAGGTTCAGTCTCTTCGTGACGGAGTGAAGCAGTGGTGGCAGTGAAGCATCGGTGTTGAACACTGATGTCATGCTGTCGATGATGATGATTCGGATGATGATGATGATGATGATGATGATGACGATGATGATGATGATGATGATGACGATGATGATGATGATGATGATGACGATGATGATGATGATGATGATGACGATGATGATGATGATGATGATGACGATGATGATGATAATGATGATGATGATGATGATGATGATGATTTGTTCTAATCAGGACAGAAGACATGCCTAGATTCTTCGTGGAAAACATCTAACCTATGTAGATTCTGATGCATGAGCGAGTCACTACGCAGGTTACCGGGGATGATCATGACCGCTTGGATGAATATTCATTAAAGCTGAAATCTTGGCACACAAACGTAAATCATCATTACTAGGAAAGTTCGCTAATTTTTGTGACGTTAGATGGTGTAATACGGTATTTTTGTACCATTGTGGCTTTATCATTCTTTCGGGGCCTCGCTTTCAGAATTAATCAATCCTGTCAAGCGCTTGGATTTTGGTTCGAGCGTAAAAAAAGACAATTTTTCACATCGTATGCCAAGCAGCGAGATAGTTTTTACGTTTATCTAAGTTCTGAATCCACTGATGAGTGTTCATTCTCTGAAACTAAACGCAGTCACGGAGAGACTGCGCCTCATCGGGGTGCGACGGTTGGCGTACTCCAGCAAACCATTAAGTTGAACTGGGGATACTCGCATGGCATTCACAGAGTCGCTTCCACCAGGAAGGTCAGTAGATAGAGGTCTGACAACCTACCCGTCTACACAAGTGTTTGTAAATGTGGGCTATTCCACCAAACTCAAGTCAATCACTGCCGCCTTGCCGTTAAATTTTGCGCCAAAAGCTTTGGCTTGGGACCTCAATCACCCCCCTGTCGGGGTTTGGGCCCTCTGGCAGTACCTCAGCCAACATACAACCATGAACTTTACAGATAAAAGTGCGATGGCAGTCAAGTACAAGTATGTATTACTAGTGTACTGATGTCGATCATGGTGGTGATGCCCAATCTAAGTTTATATTGAATAGAGAACACAACTAATCGCACATACATCATGCGCAAACCTTCGTGATGGAATTCTGGGAAAATACGAGATGGAGTCGAGATTCACACACAAAAGGTCAGAGAAAGTACAGAAGGTCAGTTCATCTGTTTCTTCTCAGTTTACCCTACCAGATGAAAGATCACTTGCTTTCAAAACCGTATGGATAGAAAACAATTAGGTTACAGGATTGAGCTTGAAGCTTTTCAGCGAACGTGTCCTTGCGTGTCCTTGCTCTAGCACCCAAAACGAGCTACGAGTGCAGTGAGCTGGATTACCGTCCTGTTGTGGAATTTAGCATGAATCGGACAGGATCGTGTCTGTTGGACTGGTGCACTTCGATCGAAACGGAGTGAATCACGTTCTGATAACTGTTACAGTGAACATTATGAACACTTTTTCATAAAGAAAACTACTCACAAGGTTGCTGAAAACTCACGACCGGTTTCGCCCTTCTTGGGGCTCATCGGGTAGGCGCAGTCCCCATCGCATCCTGGAATCGTTGGCCTTGTCACCAGTTCCAACTTTTTTCACCATTTATGGAAGGGTTTAGTACCATACAGTGATGCGTATACTTTGTTATCAATATTTGTAACCATTGCTATCAAGCTGGGAACAAAGGCAGCTCTTGCATTCCCACGCCACTAGTGCGGTCCTTGGAAGCACCGGTGTTGTGAAAGCTCGACAGTACACTAACAATTCAAGAAACCGACAAACGACGCCAACGTCTTGAGGGATAACGAGCCATTATTTCCAGGCAACTGGTGAATAGCGACAAGTCTGTCACTATGACTTACGCGGATTCATGCCGGCATCTGACATATCGAATATCGCGCACATTATGGCTTGTCTTACCTCCAATCCCCCCCACACACACGAACAACAGGAACCATTCGCAAAATACACATACGTTTGGCGGAAACTCGGGAACTGCTCTGCGCTAACGAACCCCAAGAAGAGCAAAACCGGTCGTGGGTTGTCAAAGAGTTTTCAGTAACCCTATAAGTAGTGTTGCTTCAAGATTCACCAGAACGTTTTAACTTTATCTGAAATCGAACAGGAACAGAAACCCGTTTGCAAACAGCTGTCTTGGACAACAAAACACCATATTTTTACAACAAAGGTGACAATAATTCGATTGTCTTTTTATATTTCCAACAGTTTGTGTTAGCTCCCGGGTAAGCGTTTCTCCCTATCCAATGCATTAGGAGCAGTTCTAATCGCTTCTGAAGCAAGCGTACACTGTCGATGTGATCCTCATAATCTTCCTCGTGATGTTCTCCTTGACCTTATAACCTTTTCAACCTTTTGGAAAGTACACGTGTCCTTGATTCCACTCTGAAGTAAAAAGCTTGCATGTATAATCAGATAGACTGGAGGTTCAAGACATTCGGTTACCCGGAAGCCCCTCTGCAACATTCACTTTTTCTAGAAGGATCGGTTTCGATCGGTTATGTCAGTGGTTGCCACTCGTTACTAGGGTCTAGGGACCAATAGGATTTAACCTCTCCGTTCTCAATTCCTCTGTTCTGAATCTTTCCAAAATGAGAGAGATTGATGTCACTTTGGTACTTGCTTCAGAAATCAAGGTAAGATCCAACAGCTCAAGGAAAAATTACGAAAGGATCGATGAGTTTCGCTCTCAGTGGGCAAGTTGTGATCCTACAGATGGCGCTCCCCGTTCCAAACTTGAAGCTGGAGGAAAGTTTTCATGACGGAAACTACTGCAAGGTTGCCTGAAAACTCTTCGACAGCCCACTACCNCTACCTGTTTCGCCCTTCTTGGGGCTCATCAGATAGGCGCAGTCCGCGAGTTTCCGTCAAACTTATGTTCCACTTGAATATCATAAACGAGAGATTCAGTTGAGTCTCTCGTGGAAACCAAATCGACTTGCAAATGAGTGTATTTCTGGAGGAAATTTGTTTTCAAGAATTTAAAGAGAACCACCGAAAAATGGAAGTCGAACGCAATAAAATTCTTAGAACCCCATCCCTCCATCCATTCATCCCTTTGGCAAAAAAGTCTCAATCAGTCCCTTCGTTACGGCTGTATGAAGTGTCCGACTGACAAAATCCTTCAATCTTGTCCTGAAGGGGGTCACCGAAGTCTGCATCTTTGTGTACTCATTCCGTTTGTGAACCCTGCGGAGACCAGGACAATAAGTTGGCTGTGTCAGGACCTCCGCGTGGTTCGATCGATCGTCTGAGCCCGAGATAGCCTACTGGTTGAGACAGGAACTTTTTTAGACTGGAAAATATGTGGTTCAGAATTAACCCCAATACCTCGACTGCTCCTGTCAGAGTTGAACAATCTGGCAGTACCTCAGCCCTCGTGCTCCCATCGGGTGTCATGGCAGCTGGACACCGAAACTGTGCTACACCTGAATGACTGATATCGTTATTACGACTGGTGATCGAGTTAAAAAGGCAAAGTGCTTTGATACCTTTTTCAGATCAGTCGTCATCCACTGTAATTGTAGCTTCGAGTGGCAGTATGAGTGTTCTCATGGTCTGATTATACAAATCCCAGTCGCCTTAGACATTCCATCTTCAAAGTTCGCAATCAGTAGCTTCTCACACCTCGAACAGGTGGCGTTCGTCCCAACCTGTGAAGCGGGTGTACTCAGCACAACCCACCAACAATCGCAGAAGTTGACAGGATGAATGATTCTCTTAGGTTCAAGCGGTCGCTGGAACTGGCAGTTTGTCGACTGGAATATATCGTCATTGCGATCAAGAGGGATTTCTTTTCGCAGAACGGGTCACGTGTGACTTATGACCAATGTCAAGGCAGTGCCGTTTGAATCAATGAATCAAATCGATGGTGATATCGATACACGAGGACCAAGAAGGTCACAAATTCAATCTGGAAAACGGAAAAATTTTTGCATACGGAGACGCGCGACACCGAAGAGAATTTCTGGAAGCATGTTACGCCATGGCAGATTCGATCAACCGGTGCATCGAACTGGATCCAATTTACGCACCCTTACGTGCAAAAGACCAACATCTCAACCGGAACACTCAATGAGGACCGAATATTGGATTCACAAACAAAGAAACAAGGAACTCCTCGGAGTCAAATCAATAAAGGTCACAAGCCGGAACTCGGAAGGACAAAGGTCACTCCAACATCGACCAGACTACGACGGAGGGGGATACCAAGCTGAAAAGTCACGTGGGCATCGGCGAATGAGGACACGGGATAACAGAGCAACCAATAGAACCGCCTGACTGAACAACTAATCGCGGTCAGAGGTCATCCCCGGTTACCAGCGCGTATATTAACACACACGTAACGCTACTCAACGCACAATCATTAACACACCGCTACGCACAACTTCGCTCCCCAATAACTCACTGATGATGTCACCTGGATTGCTGATGAAACGTTTGCAATCAAATTACCCAGCTCAGCGAACAAGCCAACGACCACCATCTACGCTACCTGAGCTACCGACTTTTCCTCTATAGAAAACAGTTAGAAAACGCGGGAAGAACAAAACACTTCCGGGTAAAATTAAGTGAGCTCATGTTATCTCATGACATCTTATTCAGTTTGGTACTTTCACCATCTTAGGTATGAGAGAGATGGTTGTCAGGGTAGCCGTTGCTCTGAGTGAAATTGCATGTGAGTTGTACAGGAACAAAATGAGCAAAACAACTAACTAGCATAGACTGGCTTCACTGACAGGACAAAATATCAGCTTAAAAATACCAAATTCGCTCACGCTACCTACCATCTATAAGTAGGTCAGAGGAAAGTCATCAGTGAAATTTCCGTTTGAGCAGTCGAGGAGCCAGACCGCGTGATGTAGCTTCCGTGGTTGAAAGACGAACAGTACTCTATCCTGCCTAAGTGCGGGTTAATCACACTGCTGATCAGCCGCTTGTTACCGGAAGGCTACTTGTTCAAACTACCAGCAGGAAGGTCGCGGGTTCAAGGCTCTCTGAAGTTTCGTGAGATACGCACCGATCTCAATAAAAATGAGACGACTGTTCAGTGCTTCTCGGCTTTTCCGCATAAACTGGCTTCACTTACAGGATGGAGCTTCAATATGAAAATCATCAGATCTCACAGTGCTCGAAAACTGACAGAAATATTCATGGGCACCGATACACCCCTCCCATAGGTGCATTGCTGGTATTGCCGTTCTGTATTGTCTAACATAAAGTTGCGCGCACTTCGAGCCATTGAACTGTTCTTCGATCTGTTCACACCACAAACAACCGTGGTGAGAGCTATTCCAAACGACAGTTATCCGTTATTTCGTAGTATCCGATATACGTTCGGATCTGAGTGCTACGCACACCTTTGGCTTGGCAACAACATGAAGAACATCATGGTTCGTGTATTATATGCCGTGACAAATGTCACTTGCCCAAGTGGCATTTTGTGCAGCATAGAAGAACAGCGATGAATCTGTGCGGGATGCCCGAATGACTCCGTCAGATCTCTTGTTTGCTTGAGAAATCGATAGAATTCTCTTTATTATAACCTACACACGCTCATTCAAGTATATCAGTCTTAGAAAAAACACGTGGATACAGGTGAAAGGAAGAAGGCCTTCTCTGCGGAGTTGTTTACTAGAAAATGCACACTGAGCGGTTACAGACTATTGGACAGGGAAGTAAAACTCTCATTTGCATCTTATTTACAAAAGCTGGACACCCATCTTCTCCCGAATGCGTCTTCTTGAACTTTCCTGGAGATTCATTGACTCCAATCATTACTTGGTCAAATCCAAGCAAATGTTACAAAGTGACTCCACGAATTCCGCAACAGATCTGCCTTTTTCAAAAGACACGAAGCGAAATTCTACGAGCAGCACATACTACCCGCGCGCCTCCCCATCAGTAGTATCACCGTTACACAGGTAGCAAAGAGGCAATGTCCTCACATATATTGCTTCCACTGCCTAATATGAATAGACAGGAACGTCAGGTGATAAGGGCACACCCCCTGAAGAAAACTGGAACGTTTTCTTTGTAATACTCTTCGAGCCGGCTATTGATTCGTATTTATCTGAACTTGTGGCTCGCCGAAAGTACAAGTCAGAGTACAGGTCATCACGTGTCCCAACTGACAAACCCTGGTCCTCTGGTAAAAATCGGAGTTAGAAGCTAAATAAACAAACAACCATGAATGAAACTACTCACAAGGTTGCTGAAAACTCTTCGATAACCCACGACCGGTTTCTCCCTTCTTGGAGCTCATCGGGTAGGCGCAGTCCTCGAGTTTCTGTCAAGCTTACGTCCTAATTGAACCCAAACTGCACTGATTGCGACAAATACACCCATTTGCAAATCAATTTGGTTTTCACGGGAGATTCAAGTGAATCGGGGTCAGAAAGCAGCGAGGATGGACTGCCTAGATCAACCCCTAATCGAACGCACAGCAGAGTCACTATCAGGGCATAATGTCGATCCTAGCGAGCGGTACTGCCCCCGAGAAAAAACGAATCAAGGTCAATTACGCACCAAAAAACTTGGTTAATGTCTACCTGGAAATGTGTGAAAACTCAACGTGATGTATCATAACTGGGAGGAATAGTTCGCTCAGCACCTGAAACTTCTGTATGAATATGTAGTATCGAATGACGTGGTTCGGTTTTGATAGATTGGCGCCTTTCAGTATTTTTCTAATTGGTAGAAATGCCCATCTAACGGCAGACGTCGCGAGTCAGCGTGAGTAAGACGATGTCATCCTCGACATCCCGTTGGCTTTTGCATTAGATCAAACAAACGTTACCGGGGATGTCGCAGCTACGTGCCGAAACCTAAACGGTTCCAGGAGGAGCTGGTGTAGTTCTTGGCTAACCAAATTCGGTGCTTAAGCCTGATACAGTGACCAAGTGGTTGTCGAAAGCCATTGCCTTCTTACCGTTGTTAGCACAAGCAAGTGAATGTTCTGTGGATGGCATAATGGATTCAGCGAACAGCAGCTCCTTGCACACCCGAACAGGTTTCAGATCGGATAGTGCTTCCACCGGATACTGATTCGTTGTTGAGGCTTTGTTCGTTGTCATTCTGTTGATGGCCATGGATCCCTGAAGTGATTCTTCTGCGTCTTCTGACCCGCTTGGCTGTGAAACCGCCCGCCATAGGGTTGGAGACTAATATGCCCCATCAGTTATTGAAGACAAGATCCTACACACTGGTGGAAGATAAACTGTGACGAACTAAAACGAACCGGCATTTCAGCTCCACCGCGCTTGTCCAAGAACCAATGCAATATTTTGATGACCGTCTTTTTTGTTGCCAACGGAATGGCATCAACTTCTGGCCACTTTGCGTAACCTCCTACGAGAAATAAGCGAGACAGACTACTGATCGAGCCAGCAAAATCATCGGAGATGCGTATGGTGCATTTGTTGGTGACCTGTAGAAGATGAACTGCCTGCGAGCACTGGGTGACCTTCCTACATCACGCAGACGAGACAAGGTGGCCCCTAGAACCAAGAAAAGACTGAATGGATTGTTTCTGGTTACAGAGGTAGACAAAATGCGGGCCGGACCAAGTTGCCTAAACCAGTCGAGTCTAGGCAAGGTGGCGGAGTGTAGTACACTACCGATAAAGACGGTTTTACGGAGGTGCACTTGAGATGGTTGATTAAACCGACAAGGCTGCAAACAATGTTGAAGCTGGATTGAACACCCCAGCTTCTCTTTGCGAGTATCGTGAATTGGGATGTAGAGCTGCAGCCGTTCTTCGAGCGAGAGTATTTACTTGACAGACGGCAAGATTTGTTCATCGATTTGTTAATCGATTCAGGCTTTAATTGTTATTTCGGCTGCAACCTGATGTAGCCGCCTGAGCTGAAAGAACTGAACCACTGTTGAACTTGACGCTATTTGAAAATGGAAGCTCAAACTACTAAAATGTCGGCAGCCGAATAGTGAGAAACACAAACTGGTTTGACTGGGTTTTGGCAAAGCTGTACGTTTTAGTTTGGATGGAACAGTACCACGTTGGCTGCTGCCGAGTCGTGATTTTGGTTGATACTGACACTGATACTGACGCAGTTTCCTCAAATGTCTGGTACGCAGTTCGAAACCTCTGGGCAACTAAAGATTACAGACATGAATAAGGCACTTGAAGAGGCCTTCAGTCCACTCGAAATCGGCCGTATCCCAGGTTAGTGTAAGATACCGAACTACAACAATCAGTTGTGGACAGCTGAAGACCGTGAGGGTATGCTGACGGTGGTTTTAGATTCCCCCACGATTTCCGTTCATAAAGGTAATCAAACGTAAATATTTGCACTTTTCAGCTGAGTTAACTTATTTGTCTGAATGATGGTCATCTTTCTGCTTACATAAAAAGCACCACACGAAAGCCAGAAGTAACCGCTGTTAGTGCTGGCATCAACATCTACAAGGTCAATGTACAGAGGGAAGTTTTGCAGGACGAGTAGCGTTTAATAAGCACTAAAATTGTCAGTGATCAGCACATCAACTCATTCCACATTCAAACGACGTACCTCAAGAGGAAACCAATTGTTGGTCAGATGACCGTTGGTCCTCTTACCGAGCTTACAAAGATTCTGTTACCAATCGAGATAAAGTCATCGGCGCATTAGGTTGAGGATATCTGAGTGACACGGGATAATCCATAAAATGCCTCGGAGAAGGCATTCATGATCACAGATTTCTATCTGAGAATAATTGCCTAAATTTTTCAACATCTTGTATAAACCCGGGGATGTATCTCCCCCTGAATTCGGGACATTTAAACTTGATAGTGAGTCATCTTCCGAAACCCACTGAAACATGTCAATATCTCAGCAATTTCGTTGAGAACTCCTAGGAATAAAGGCGTACAATTGTCACACACACGCCACGATGTTTTTGGAAATATGATCAGGGAAATTCACGGGTTTATGGATCGACTCCCAGCGGAACATGCAGCCACGCTCATCTAAATATCACCGAGTACATTTATGTTAGAAAGCGCCCCTTGCGGGATTCACGGAAAAAATCGTGAAAGTCTTTGTGGGTTGAAAGCAGGAGAATTCGAGTGTCATCCACTTGCTCTGCAACAGGTGTCTCTCGTATTCCACACGGCCGGTAGCAGCTAATCACAGTCTGGGTCAATATAAAGTTCCGCTCGCCGATGTTTGTTCTAAAATGTCACTTGTGTTAAACGCATGTCCAAAACGTTCATTAATTATTTGGAAATATGCAGATCACTTTGGTCCAGTTTTTGGGTCAGCTGCTTACAATGGGAGTGTAACAATGCTGGGAAAGTATTGTTTTCCCGGTAATTTTTACTGGACATTGTCGTTACGATGGGAAAATAAATAGCCTGTGCACATGCAAGTCTTGACACAAAGTGACAGGATGTGAACCAAAATTTCCAAGTTTGAACTGTTGTGATGCAGTTAGGTTGGGTTTTGAAGCATGTTCTGATTTTTCTATTGATTATTGGAGATTCGATTAGAATCCGTCGGCGTTTTGTCGACGCCTGCGTTTTGCTACTCCGTGTTGATCTTCACGTTACGTTCTGTGTAGCATACGTTGGAATAATCGCTGACGGGACCGGGGTTGGGGCGATGGATCATCTTGGAAGCCGTGTAACCTGGTAATTGTTCATCAACTGAAATCAATGATGATACACCTGAGCTCACTGGTCAATAGGTGGGACCATTTTGGTCTGACTGTCCTCCCCCCTTTGAGGCCTAAAATGAATCGATAATCCTCACGGAACGAAGTCGACAAGGTCAGTTGAGAGTTGAAAGTAGAAGTACCTTAGAAATCCGAGTCGTAGTGGGGGGTTGATTGGCATGCGTGTGCTGAAATTCATCCATGTTCACGCTAAATGTCGCGAGGCCTGTCACTACTGAGTGGAACTCTCATTTGAGAAGTTGTCACTCGGGAAGCCAATCCGTACTTGATCACGTGATGTGAATTCTGTGACTGGAAGATAGACGGCACTATATCCTGCCTGAGTGCGAGTTGGTTGCATTTCTGGTCAGATACTGGTGTTCAAACTACCGACCATGATTTTGCGGGTCAGACTCCCTGGAATTTTTTGAGGTACCCACGTATGACGATATTCAATAAGGATGAGAGACAGATGTACGGTGCTTCATGGCTTTTCATCATAGGTCGGCTCCACTTAATTGAAAAAAAAATTACTAGATCAGGAAGTCAAAATGTGAGGATACATTAGTCCGACCATATTGCTAACTACACTTATTATTGAGTTGCAATTTCGGGGTTTTGCGGGTTAGGCAGGACTCACCGGAATAATTACGCCAGAACAGGAACACGACCGTTCAAACGAGAGCGGTGTGGCTATGAACAAAAATGTCTATCCTGCAAAACCCCAACATTGCAACCAAAAATCTGCCCAGTGGGCTTCAAGCGTGTACCACGGTACCTGACTGGTTAGTTCTGACTGGCGGGTCAATCGATCGTCACGACCAGAACAGTTACTGAGTCGTCATTCGATGAGCCGGACACACCAATCACCTCGCTCAAGTGTGAACACGTTCGCCTGTTCAGATGTGATAATTCAGACGCGTCCAACATGCTCTGGTGGAGTAGCGGTTACACGCATGTCGCCTCGCATGTCAGATGTCCGGGGCTCGAATCCCGGCACGGCCATTAGATATGCACTGCTAATGTGCTCCAATAAGAGCAAAACTCGGGTCCGGTACTTCCCTTTGGTGTGGATTCACCGGGATAATTACGCCGGAACAGGAACACGACTCACCATAACCTTGCACCATGTGTTTATTCTGTGAAATTAGGTCTCACTTTATCCTTGGCCAGGTAAACCTCGGGCCCTCTGAAGGAGGCATGATTTATAGCCCAGAGTTGAAACTTTTGCTTCCGTAAATATCCTTAACTTTTGGCTTGTAATCAGTGACTGAAACAATCTGGTGAGGTTCGAAATGGTTTCACGCGTCCCTTTCTAGTTTAGGGTTGAATCAAATTTAGTGACATTTCGAAGACAGTTTTCCGGTTAAACGGGACGTTGTCCGTCACATTGTGTTGCCCTATTTTCGCCCAAAGTCGTTGCTCATATGTGTGGTTGGTCTCGGTTGATAGGGGTGGGGCACCAAGTTGCAGTTTTATGGGCCTCCAGTTGTGTACAGATCGAACCGTTTTAAGCATACAGTATGATCGTTTGTATGTCTACCGAACACTAGTGTGGAACGGAGACCGGATAAGGTCCAAAACTATAGGCAGCGGTTCACTCCACGTGTTGTCAATGACGTAGAAATATCTGAATAGATAGATTTTCTCTTCTTGAAAGGGAGCCAATATAGAGAGTTAGAAGTCGGCTACAATCCTTGGAAAGCCTCCTGTAGGGGTAAGAATTCGTTTGGTTTATAGAACTTGAATGCCTCAGATTGCTAGCTGTGGAGTGAGTGACCAACCTTTGTACCCTGGCTCCACCTTTACGTATATTTGTGAGATAATGGCTGATGACAATTTCGGGAATGGTAGACCGAACTAGAGGTGACAATGATCAGACATCTTTTCATTTATGCTTTAAATTTGTGCCCCAAATGAAATATGCTATAATGTTTGCTATTCATCATTAACCGGCGAGTTTGTATAACAGGAGCGCCTTTTTAAAAGTGCATTTTCGTCAGTTTGATAATAGCTCACGATCAGTTTACACCACTTGTTCGTTAGCTGACACGACGTGACATTTTTCCTTTTGCGTCCCCGTTTCCCAGATCGATGATCTAAAGCACAATTGCATAAGCTACTCGATGACAGCGTTTCTTCATCAGGTTTTCATCTTTCCTCTTGATGGCACCTGCAAGTTGAAATGGTGTAGACTTGATGTGAACGTTAATCATCATTTTGATCGGCTGGCTCTATAGGGGTCAGTGTGGTACGATGTCTTACCACAACCAGCAAGGCGGCCAGAGTATCTATTCAGAGGTGAAAAACTCGGGGCTGTAACTAGGCCTCCACCGACAAACGACTCCGGTGATCACTCCTGGGGAGGATACTTTTCAATTAACCAACTAAAAACGAGCTGTTTTTTGAGGAGAGGGGCTCTCCAGGGGAAGACGACTGCCAATAAAACTTTAAAACGAAACACTAATGAGGTCACAACAGAATGAGATCAACCTTATGATTGATCTGCGTACCACCGTTTTTGGGATTTAGTTACTTGTCCAAGTTTATACGGTGTTGAACACAAAAACAATTCATGATAGTTGGTTTCAACATGCCGACCCTAGTTTGTATGTTTTGTTCAGCGTAAGCCACGCCCTTGCTTCGCATATTCCTAGTTTGATTGGGGCTCTTGTTTTGTAAGTGAGCAGGTAGCA